ATTGCTCTTGTTGCCTGGATTTGGGATCAGAAACTGCTTCACTAAGGAAGGAAGTCTTAACTGTCCCAGAATATTCTCAGGTACTGACTTCAAAAAACATTTCCAAGAAAACAGGAAAATGGGAGTTTCACTCTTGTAACCCTAGACCTTATTAAGGTAGTTGAGCAACAGAGTTCTAAGGTGGAGCTTAGCTTCACAGTGTAGCCTCAAATCCTCTTTCCTTTTCCTGCCTTGTTTTTCTTTTGAGGGAAGTACTTTGATTTTAATATCATTAACTCTTTTTTTTTTTTTGATGTCTGAAGGTTTATTATCGCCTTATCCCCAGGGTACCCCGCTGGAATGCCTCAGTGCCTCAGCACTCTGGTATCCTTGGTCTCGGATACCACCTTGCCATCCACGATCCTGCGGGTGGTTGTTTTCTGGATGGTTTGCATGGAGTTGCTGCTGTCCAGGGCGTCATTGAGACTAAAGTCTTCTCCATCTTCCAGCAGGCGGCGGTAGGTGGTGATCTCAGCCTCCAGCTTGACCTTGATGTTCAGCAGGGCCTCGTACTCCTGGGCCTGGCGCTGCCCCTCTGCCCAAGTCTGTGCCAGCTCGGACTCCAGGTGCAGCAGGACGCCATTGAGCTGTTCCATCTGCACAGCATAGCGGGCCTCCACATCCCTCAGGTTATTCTCCGAACTGACCTTTTGATTTCTCATGGAATCAAGGTCAATCTCCAGGGCCTGGTAAGTGCACTTCAGCTCTGTGAGTGTTGTCTCAGCATCTCTGATCTCAGTGGACTGGGTGGTGACCACTGTGGTGCTCTCCTCAATCTTCTGGGACCAGTACTTGTCCAGTTCTTCACGGTTCTTCTGAGCCAGCTCTTCATACTGGGCTCGGATGTCTGCCATGATCTTGCTGAGGTCCTGAGATTTGGGGGCATCCACTTCCACGGTCAAACCAGAACTGGCAATCTGGGCTTCCAGGCCTTTGACTTCCTCCTCATGATTCTTCTTCATGAACAGCAGCTCCTCCTTAAGCGCTTCAATTTCTGTCTCCAGCTGCAGCCTTGTGATATTGGTGTCATCAACAACCTTTCGGAGTCCATGGATGTCATTCTCCACAGACAGGCGCATGGCCAGTTCTGTCTCATACTTGACTCTGAAGTCATCGGCAGCAAGACGGGCGTTGTCAATCTGCAGGACGATTCGGGCATTGTCCACAGAACTTGCAAAGATCTGAGCCCTCAGGTCCTCGATGATCTTGAAGTAGTGTCCCCAGTCTCTGGGCCCCTGGGCCCCCTTCTTCTCCAGATGTTCCCGGATTTTGCTTTCCAGCCTCCTGTTGTCGGTTTCCAGGCTCTTCACCCTGTCCAGGTAGGAGGCCAGGCGGTCGTTCAGGTCTTGCATGGTCTCTTTTTCCGTCTGGATGCCGCCCATTCCCACCAGGCCTGCGGATCCCGAGCTGCCCCAGACGCTGCTGGAGCGGGACACCGAGCCCCCGGCGCCTGCATAGACGCTGGCCGCGCTGCTGGCCGGCCGGACCCGCTGGCTGGGCGACCGGACCGAGCCCAGGGACCGATAGTTGCTGGAGAAGGTGGTGGAGCGAGTAGTGAAGCTCATGGTGTCTCGAGTGGAGCGCGATGCGAGAGACCAGGACTCAAGTTCGGGCGTTCAATATCATTAACTCTTACCTAAGTTCTTTTCAGCCAGTGGTGGTGCGGATGGAATCAAGGAACGCTTAAAAGCCATGTTAATAATTTCAGTGCCGACGTGGGAAAACAGCTATTAAGGCTAAACTGTTTTGTAAAAGTTACAAGGTATTGGCAACTGGAGTACATTACGGAGTAGATTGCAATCATGTGTCGATGTGGGGGGAAAAATCCTGAACATTCTTCCCAAATGGGAAGAAGTGAGTCTCCCACGCTCCCAGTAAAACCTATCATCATCTTAGAATACATTTGCTTGATCTCAGTGCCAAACGGATTGAGTTCTGTACTTATTTTTCCCCTCGTTTCTGTGTGGTTCTAGATCATCTACCCAGCTACCACGTGTGATTTGGGTGTGTAAAGATGAAAGCAATTCCCAGGTGCCTTAGCTTACATTCCAATAAGCAGGTAAAACTCATTTTGGATACTCGAGGTAAGGATTAGGGCTCCTGGAAAGCTACTTTCTCACCAGTTGACACTGCGACTGAAGTGATCGGTGCCAACAGACAGGCACCTTGACTCCCAACCCTCTGTCAGCTCCCGGGATCCTAGTCCGCTGATCCTAGACAGTTTCCCAGCTTCTCCGCACCGATCTGGCCTCCACTCCCACTACAGCAGACCCAGGCTTAAATAGCCGAGAACTAGTCCTTCTCATCGCTGTCTCCCCCACCTTAGGGTCTCGTTTCTTCACCCCAAGTCTGTGTCATCTAACCCCTGGGCACCTTTCTAGGCCCCAGCATTAAGCGAAGACTGGGAGAGCAAGTGGCTATGGGAGCAGCGTCCGCGGAGGACTGCCGAGAGGAGACTCTGGACCTGCGGGATGGTGGTGGGTGCGGAATGAGTACCAGCGGAATGAGTACAAAATCACGCCTGGAAGGGGAAACTCTCAGGAGTCTTTCCTGATTCCTCCTTGGCTATCTAGGGTTCTAGTTCAGCAGGGGCGGGGCGTAACCTTGTGAACTCTGGCCTTGACTTCGCCATCGCTGTGCTTTTCTAGCTACCCGCGGGAAGAGAGGTCGAGCACTGGGCTAGGAAAATGCGCAAGTGCGCCCTGGGACTCCGTCTGCAGCAAAGAAATGGGGTTGAGGTGGAGGGCTGCGATAAGGAACCCGAGGCTGGGATAGGACAAAGCCGCGGGTACGGATGGAATTCATGGTTCAGAAACTGCACCGGGTTGATTCTGTCGCCCAAAGGTCCCAGGAGACTTCATTTCTCCCAGGCACAAATTTCTCATCTGCAAACTGGAGGAGTCTATAAGCCTGTTCCCCAGTGAATGCTGGGGATGCACAGCAGGAGCAGATATGGATGCTCGGAGTTCTGCATCCCTACAGCGCAGCGCTTAGAACAGTTTCTTCCCGGTGGCGCTGGTCAGCTGCCTCTCACCGCACAGACCCTAGCACTTGGCTCCACCTGGGTCACCTCTGCACATCCACTTAGCCTGTCCGGAACAGGACCCGGTGAGGGGCGAAGACCGTCTAGCCCTCGGGATCTCAGAAACCTCGTGGTTTTCAAGCCCAGAGGCAGGACTAGGAGACCCGATTCGACAGGGATCCAGAGCCACTACCAGAGGTTCTGCGTGGTCCAGAAGGAGACCAGGGATGACCTGCTGAACACCAGGAGCCACAGAGACGCGCCCTCTGTGCCCAGAGGGACGAGGTGCAGTGAGGACGCCAGGCCCGCAACGAAGCAGCTGTGGGTGCACAGGGTACCCGCGGATGCGCAGGAGCCCCTGCACCTGCTCTCCGTCAGCAGGAGGGCGGGCGCTCCACATGGGTCGCATCCGGAGGCCAGAGCTTTCCATCATCAAGGCGTTCAGGCCAAGCGGACGCCTAGCGCCAAGTTCGATTGAAGAACCACATTGTTTTTGTTCTGCCATCGCCCTTTTAGGAAGTCGTCGCTTGATATGATTTCGTTAGGGAAAATTTAAAACTTGGGGCCCAGCCTGGTATAGGCTTTGACCCTGTGGTCCGCATGACGGTCCTGGCTTCAGCTAGGAGGAAAGAAAATTCGAACCCATAAGGGGGTGAGTTTTTCTCCAGGTGCTGGCTAGAGCAGAGGGAAGTTTAACTGAATACCTGAGCGAGGGCAGGCCTGGGGACACCTTTGCACACAAAGCGCAAAGAGGAACTGGACTCGCGAACCGAAAGGTTGAAGACTGGAAATGAAACAGGAGCCCTTTATTATGGTTTGCGGCTAAACTCTCAGAGTCTCGCTTCAAAAGGTGTCTGCTTAGGACGCGGGTAGTGCTGTGGGGGTCGAAGGGGGCACCAGCAAAGGGAGAGAGTTGCCAGCTCTTCCAGGCCCAGGCTTGGGAAATTTGCAGAACAGAGCAGTGGAGCCGGAAGGGGTGGCCTCTCAAGTGGACTGATAAGTAATGGGGTGTAAATAAGAAGCTGGCATTTAAAAATAAAGCAAACAAAAATCGACCAATTAAAGGGTAAGATAAATGTTTCCCTCCTACCGGAAGTGAGGCCTTCAGAGCCAAGGGTGAGGAGTGGAGGCGGAAACGACTTTCCCGCTTTCGGAGAGGCTGTCCTCAAAGCCGAGAAATAGGATCTTAAGGAAACCCTTCCGAGGACAAGCTCGGCACCACTCAACCTCTAAAATCCAGCCTTTCCGGGTGGTCTTGAGTGCTGGGCAGTCTCTTGTTTCTCTAATAATCTGAAGCTGAATAATAATTGTCAAAACCTCTCAGATATTAATTTTATTTTATAAGAAAAAATACCTTGAAAACACTAGTGGCTTCATATACATACATGGCCTTGTGCTTTCCCGAGATGTCTGTCTGCTTTATTCCAATTTGATCTCAAATCCACCAACTTGCTCAGAAAAAAATACCAACTTTAGAAAAATGGTAAATAAATCCAGCATAATGTAATCCCAGTATCCTGGAGGCTGAGGTACAAGGATCGCTAGTTGGAGGCCAGCCTGAGCTACACAGAGAGAAAGGAAGAATGGAGATTGTACTGTTCCTCCCATTTTTTCCTTCTAGAAGTTTCAAAAGTATTCAACCTATTCTATAAGGTAAAACTTTTCAGCCTCAAATTTTAAGAATTTTAGAGAGCCTTCTTAAACTTTTAAAGATTTTCAAAAAACCCTTATTAAAAATGTGTTATTCCTGCTCTTATAATGAATCATAAAAACAGTGAGAGAAGAGTGCACCGTTTAAAAAGAAATTCCACTTAAGAAAGCAAATGAGACATAATAGAAAGTAAACGATGTAGTGTCCTGATTTAATATTTTATTTAATCTCTGTAATTAAGATTTAATTTTAACACTTCCCAGAGGAGTACGGCACTTCACACGCACACAAGAAATAAATGTACGAAATTAAGATTCTACTTATATATATACACATGGACTTCAGGAAGTCACCGGCAGGTGGAAGTTTTGCTTTTGACTGGAGCAGATACTTGCAGATCTAGGGAATGGAGGAGAGGTTGTTTTTGCCTTAGAGGTTTTGTTTTTTATTAACAGAGTAAAATATCCCCACTCACGTCCATAGCTCACAGTTCCTCGGAATTGTGCAAATCGGAAAAGCTGTGGAGTCACAAGTGAAGGCGGAAAGAAAAAAGCGAGACTTGATGGTGGAGAATTTTATCACCTTGGGGTCTTCAAGAGGGCAGAAGAGTGGAGTGCGGTTCTAACAGTTCGGAACTGCTGCTGGTTTTATATGCACCAGACTAGCCAACAGGTGAAAACCCGACAGCGGTGGTTCCAACCAGCCACTAGGCTCCAGGTGTGCCAGATGGAATCTGTTCAAAACGCAGGCAAGGTCCCCTCTCGACTCGAAAGGGCGGCCAGAGCTGTCAGCCCGGAGCCCTCAGCTGCAGGCTGATGCCGCAGCAGCGCGGCGACCGCAGACAGGCGCCGGCCCAGCAGCGCACCTTTATCCGGAGCGCAGCTGCTGGTGCTGTGCTGCTGCGTCGTCCCGGAGGCGGCGGGCACGTGCAGCAAAAGGGCAGCGGACTGGGGGTGTAACAGACAGGATGGGTGCTGAAGCAGGTGGCAGTCGCTCCACGGAGCCGGGGTCAGACTCTGCACAGCCCCAGCTCCCCCTCCGCTGACCCCTTGCATGACACTCTCGATACTAAATGACGTACATCCTGGCCCGCACACAGAGCCCTCCGCCTCCTCCCAAGGCTGGGAGCCCAGCGAGGGCTGCAGCGAGGGGCTGGCGCCGGGGGTCGCCAGGTAGGTGCCGCCCGCTTTCCTAGGTGCTTGGGCGTAGGCGGGGGCGGAGAGCAGCAGGTAGCGCAGAGGATGCGGGTGCAGCAGTGCTGCGGAGTGTTGGGTTCCCGGGACGTGCGGCGGGGCGAGGGACCGGAGCAGGAGGCCGGGGTGGGAGCGGTGCAGGGTGGCAGGCGCCGCGGGCAGAGGGAAAGGGTAGTGCAGCTGGCCTCCCGGGGGCGGGTGGTGGCGCTTGAAGCGCTTTCGGCGCCGGAGGAAGCTGCCGTTGTCGAACATGTCCTGGGAGGCGGGGTCCAGGCTCCAGTAGTTGCCTTTGCCCGGATGGCCGGGCTCGCGGGGTATCTTGACGAAGCAGTCGTTGAGCGACAGGTTGTGGCGGATGCTGTTCTGCCAGGCAGGGAACTTGCGGCGGTAATAGGGGAAGCGGCCGCTGATGAAGGCGCAGATGCCGCTGAGAGTGAGGCGTTTGTGAGGGCTCTGCAGTATAGCCATGGTGATGAGCGCGATGTAGGAGTACGGGGGCTTGGCCGGCTGCCGGGCGTCCGCTGCGGCCGCCGCAGCCTTCTGCGGCGCTCGGAACTTGCGACCAAACCCTGAAGAGACGCTCAAGCCGCCGCCCCCTGCGCCCTGTCCTGGAAGCGCGTCCTCTCTGCGCCCGGCGGCCTCTGGTCTGGACCGCAGAGCCAAGCACTTCCTCCCGTCCTCGTCGTCCTCTTCGTCCTCCGCCTCGTCCGCATCTTCCTCCTCTCCCAGGACGTCGATCTCCCCGTCATCCCCGTCGGAGCTTCGGGGGCTGGGCTGCGGAATGGAGCAAAGGTGCTTAACCCCTGCTAAGTTCATGGGGACAGGTCCTGCAGAGGGAGGTCGTTCACCTGGGGTGGGCTGTCTGGGAATGAGTCTGCCGAGAAGTCGGGCTGTTCCTGGTGACTAAGGCTTCTTTTCCTTCTATCTCCTCTTTTCAACACTGTCCAGTAATGCGCTTTTGTGTTCTCGGCCGGACAGCTTTTCTTGAGCGCCTATGCGGTGGACTCCCGCTTTATACCCTTCTTCCCCCACCTCTGAGCCAGGCCACTTCCTTCTGACGCAGTCCAATGATGAGGGTCCTCGGTTCCCCTCCTCCTTACACCCACCTTCCTCCAAGAAAGATGCTCCAGTCTTAGTTTAACCAGTCAAAAGGCCCTGGTGATGCCTGGGCTCTGTTAATGCAGTTTAAAACTGCAAATAAAAGCGAGGTAGGAAAACATTTCAACACAACTTGTGACCACCTTAACATTCGGCCTAGCATTCGCTTTGGTGCAGGAGGGGGTAGCCTGAAATGGTATCTGCGTTGATAAAATGTGTAACAATAAAAAAGTTTTCTATAAAGTTTTCAATAAAAAAGCTGGAGAGATGGCTCAGGGATTAAGAACGCTGGTTGTTCTTGCAGAAGACCCGGGTTCGAATCCCAGCACCCACCCTAACTCCAGTCCTGGGGATCTGACAGCCTCTTTTGACCTCCGTGGGCATGGGACCACAGTGGTGCACTTAGCTACATGCAGGCCATACACGCATACACATTAAAAAAATAATTTTTTTTTTTAAAAAAAGGTTTTCTAATTTCACAGATGGTCAACACCCATTTTCATTTGTGGGTTCTGTCTTCATCCAGAATAGCGCGATTAAAGGTTCCAACTACAAGCCCCAGTTTAAGGGAAGCTCTCATGGGCCTGCCTTGTTCCCTCCCACCAAACTCTGCCCAGTGTTCTCCCAGAAGACTGAAACACCTTAATATCAAACTGTGGAAGTCCAATGTGAGAAGAGGGCTAAAAAATAATTTTCTTAATCCCTTTACAGTAGTGATTCTCCAGCTTCTTCTAATATTTAGCCACAGGAAAATGGTACCTACCTTTCATCATCTTCCACATACAGACATGCATGCCTAGAATGGTTTCCACAAAACATTCTTGCATCTCAGTGACAACTGGTGTCTTCTTAGTGGTCTTGACCAACAAAATTGGCTTCACCATAAAAATCCTGCTTTCCCAAAGTAGCCTCATAAGTAAAGGAATGCCCTCAATATAGCACGGCCTGTCCATGTTCACAGTCTTGTTTCCCCTTCCCACTCCATTCTGTCTTTTCAGAAACATGAAGCACTTTTACTGTATAAAGCCTGAAACTAAAATGAGGGAGAGGGGCTGCCTGCCACCTGCCACTGTCATTAGCTAAATCTGGGTCATCATGCAGCACCTACATTACACAGGAGTAGGATAGCTGCTGGTCTCACCTGATGTCCTTGGAAGTACCTAGGCTTTTAGACTGGCTTCATCTGAATTAGCTCACCAACTAAAGAAACAATATGGCAGAATATGTTTGCTATATAACTAGGAATCGCATAACAAGATACTACACCATGGTACAGGTTCATGTTACTTGGGAAATTTTTTAGATGATGTCTAATAAAACATAGTATGAAAGGATTTGGTTATACCACTGTCAAAAGGTCAGTCTTCTACCTGTGTTTGTAAATGGCAGTGAATTTTCAGTGAGAAATCAGAAGCCAACCACCAGGGCAAAGATTATCAAAAAACAGTTTCATGCCTTTGTAATTAAAAAGTACTTTTAAGAAGCTAGCACCTTTGGGACAAAATTTGGAGAACAACTCCCTTGCAAGCCTTTAAGCCTTATCCTCTACTCCTGAGGTTTTAACCTTTCAAGGCTATTAAGTGCAGCTTAAGGGAGGATAAATAACAAATTCAAATTTGGATTTGAATCCCAAATCTACCAAGGACTATTTGTGTGATCTTGTAAACTAAGCTCCAGGAGGGCCAGACAGGTGTCTGTCTCTTTCAACCAGATACCCCCAGTTGCTACCCTCACCCCCTGGTGGAGAGACATAGTTCCTCCACAGCCTCGGAATCTGATAACCTGGGAAAGAAAGTATTGTTAGTTTTTCTAAAGTCAACTTCTATGGGGATTTGGGTTATTTACAAATGAAAGGTTGTACTAGAAAACAAAGCAAAACAAAACACCCACATTATGGTGTATGGCAAAGGGGCACAAGAACCATCTTATTAAAGAGTTCCCTGCAGCCCAGGCCTGGACAATTTGTGCAATAAAATAAAGTGGCTTTGGATTATAACTGAAAGCCTAAAATACATCTGTTTCCACATTGTTAAAAATAAATGCTTAAATTAATAGATGGGGAAAAGAAGTTTCTCTGGCAGAATTCCAAACAGCTTGTGTGGCTACTCCACTCTCAAGGACATGGAGCACATTTCTGCTTCAGAGTGGGCTGTGTGTGCTTTTTTTCTTCCTTTCACGAAAGGTGAAAAAAGTATAACCTTTCCTGTGGAGAAACTTGATAAAACCTCAGCCAGGAGATCAAGGCCAACACCAACCAGACAGCATAGGGACTGTGCATTTGGTTGGTGTGATGAAAATGGCACTCTGATCTTCCTCCTGAATCCTAATCGTGCAAAAACAAGTCCCAATTGACAAGCATCTTATGTACCCGTGCAGTAGCTCTTAAAACTGCCAAGGTCATCAAAACAACGGAAATCTAAGACATAGTCTACAGGAATTTAAGATGTGACAACAGAATGGAATGTCTATCCTGGATGGGATTCTTAAACAGAACAAAAGATATTAGGTAAATATTCTAAACAACCTAAACCTGTGGACTTTAGATAATAGTAATGTCAATGCTGGTGCAGCAAATGTACATAGCATTATAAGATATTAGTGTGTCTATATATCTAAACTTTATTTACTTTTAATTTATTTATTTTGGTATTTTTAAGACAGGGTCTCCCTATAGCCCCAGTTGGCCTAGAACTCACTATGTAGACCAGGCTGGCCTTGAACTCACAGAGATCTGCCTCTGCCTCCTGAGAGCTGGGATTAAAGGTGTGTGCTACCATGCCCAGTTAAACCTAACCTTTTTAAAAAAATACATTCTAGGGGCTGGAGAGATGGCTGAGCAGTTTAAGCACACTGGCTGCTCTTACAGAGGACTAGGGTTCAGTTCCCAGCACGTACATGCCAGGTAACAACATTACTCCAACAAACGTAAGGCATTTCTAGAAGTAGGAACATCCTTTCAAAGCAATCTAAACATAACGGTTTTCTCGGGTACGCTACTAAACCAAAGGAAATAATTATTCAATTCATGGATCATCACCAAGCCCAAAACATTTCAAAGCCTTAGTCATCACCACTTTAAAAATTTTATTTTGTTAATAACAGCCTTCAAACTTCACAGTCTAGTGATTAAAGACCCTAGAAAGATATTTTTATTTAAACTCAATTTCTGCACAAATGTCCATGAGAAGACATAAAATTTCTTTTTTACTTTAATTATTGGTACTGGAGGCTAAGCCCAAGATTTTGCACATACTAAGCACGTGCTGTACTACTAGGCTACATTCTCAGACCCAAGAACATTAAAAAAAAAATCTATATACCATATAACTAAGCAAAGCATCACAAAAGAAATCTGGAATTACAAGAAGGGACAATAATTAAAAGCCCCCTGAGTCTGCTTCAGAGATGACTGAGGCTCTTTTCTAGCTCACCTATTGACAGCGACAGAGAGAGGAAAAACTAGAGGCATGAAGCCCCAAGACTTTATCAAGTTGACTGTCAGTCACTGAGTCTTCCCTCACAACTCTGCCAACACTTCCTGCAACTGTCTTAAACTCAGTACCGATTTTCTTGTCCTTTTTCACTGACAGCTACAAAAAGCTCCCCAAAGAACTGTTTAAGATATGAAGTTGAACTGTATCGCAAACCTTGCTAAATAGTGGAAATTTATATTTGTTGAGATTCTATATTCAGCATTCGTTAATTTAATCCAGAGAGAATTGTATTATTACCACCATTTTACAAATAGGGAGACAAGTGCTCAGGCAGATATATGAACTCTTTGGTCCTATCTCCTGTCTAAACCCTGATCACCATCATCAGAATACCCTGCAAGCTTTCCATAGCAAAGACTGGCCATTATTACTACATTACAAAATAAAACCTCCTTAGGATCGATAGCTGAGGCAAGGTCTAAAATCTCCTGAAGGTACAGTTAATATATGACTGTGTTCACTGGGAAATATTTCATTTGGGGAAAAAGAATGAAGGGCAGAGCAATATACACTTCAAAAAATACAAACACTATAAAATACAGTATAAAAGTGATATATAGTCCATTTAAACTAGTAAAAACTGAAATGTGGTTTAGTTATGTTTAAGAAAATGGGTACTTTCATATACTAGGGAATGAAGGCAAAAGAGATTTAAAAAGGCAAAATTTTAATGTGTGAATCCTACATGGTAGTGATTACACATGCACGTGTGTGCGTGCACACGTGCACACACACACATACATTCTAGAGAAAATTCAGAGGCATGCACAGCAATGTTCACAGCAGCACTGCTTTCAATTTTAAAACAGGAACAACTATCTGCCACAGTGCTCATACTCAAATCATCTCTCAGTTTAACCTTTTAGTCACTCCCCAGTACATCAAGAGTAATCCAAGGGTCAGAGAGATGGCTCAGTAGGTAAAGGTGCTTGCCAGGTGATCTGAATTCAATCCCTGGGGATCACGTAAAGGTGGAAAGGAGAGAACCAACTTCTCCAACTCCACAAAGTTGTCCTCTGGTATCCACACATGTACAGTGGCCCATGCACACACACCCACATACAAATGATAAATAAAATTTGAAAGTGTAATCCACTGGGCATGGTGCCACACATCTTTAATCCCAGCACCAGGAGGCAGAGGCAGACAGAGCTCTGTATGTTCAGGCAGCCTGGTCTACATAAGTGAGTTCCTGGCTGACAAGGGCTACACTGTAGCCTGTCTCATTTTTTTTTAATCCAAATGTTTACTCTGTCCTAAAAAGAGCACAAACCTGGCCTCAGCTCACAACTCCAATTTTATCTCATGCCCTTGCTTTCTAGCATTCTGCCACTTCTGCCTTCTTCCCTGTCTCCCAACAGATGATGCTGGTACCTACCTAGAGGCCTCTCTCTGCATCTACTTTTGATGAATGACTTCTTGTGATTCAGTTCTCTTCTTAAGGGTCAGCTTTCCTCAGAGGCCTTCCACAACCACTCGAAGTCTACCTCCTACTTTCTTATTTTTGTTTGGCCTTTCAGACCAAGTAGTCTGAGAACTGGGTCTTTATCTGTTGTATGCTGTTTCTGTTCTGGCACTAATACCAAGCAAACTGGAAGCCACCGACAGCTTCCTCTGATATTCAACAACTAGTCTGGGAAAGCTTTTCACCTTGTTATAAGCCACCTGTGCTTTTCTCTTACAATTAGAAGACAATGCTGAGTTGCCTTGTAGGAATAGGAAAAAACTGAATTATTGAACACAGACATGACATACCCATAGTGTACATAAAATCCATTAACCAACAAAAGTTATCTGAGGGGGGTAGGGAGGAGGCTCTATGGTTAAGAAAGCTGGCTGTTCTTGCAGAGGACCAGAGCTTGGTTCCTGGTACCCAGGTAAGGTGGTTCACAACCACCTGTTACTCCAGCTCCAGAGGATCCTGATAATTTCTTCTGGCCTCTGCAGGCACCTGCACATGCATGGACACACACACACACACATGACGCATAAATAAAAATAAATCTTTTAAAAAAAAAGTTATCTGCAAGGCCAGCAAGATGGCTGGGCAGGTCAGAGCACTTGCCACACAGTGCTGGTGACCAGAGTTCAGACAGGTAGTCTTGGGTTTGTAATCCCAGCTCCAGCACTCCCACAGAGAGAGGACGCAAAAGCAGGAGAGGAGAACTGAGTAAGCTCAGAAGCTGGCATGCACAGCACAGTGGAAGAAATATCAAGAGTGACCTGTCTCAAAAACAGGTTGAAGGAGAACTGATTCTTGAAAAGTTGTTGCCTTGAAAAGTTGTTCTCTGCCCCCCACACACACACCCCACAAATTAAATAAAAATAAATCTTTTTAAAAGAAAGCTATCTGCAGAACTGGAAAGAAGATGGCTCAGTGGGTATCTCTAGCATCTAAATAGCAAGGCATGGCTTCAAGTGTTTATAACCCCTGTACCCCAACTTTTTGGGGGGGCACATAACGCAAGATGGACAGGAGGACACAGGCAGACCCAGGGGCTCACTAGCCAGCACAGGAAAACCAAAAGTGGTCAGCTTCATGTTCAGTGAGAGACCATCTCAAGGGACTAAAGCAGAGTGACAGAGCAGGATGTGTCTTCCTCTCACCTCTGGGCACAGAAATAAACTATCTGTAGTTATAGTTAGCTAAAGGTTTGTACCTCATTATTTCTTAGCTTGTACAGAAAACTAAAGACATTCAAAATAGTCAAGATGAATTTAATCACAGCAGTATAACTTACTTAAAATTAAGAGCTCTAGAACCAGAATCTTTAAATATAGTACAGAATAAATTTCTGAAGTTTCATTATATGACCAGTAAGACTAGGCACTGATTATAAAAAAAAAAAAAGACAATTTAATTTCTTTTATTTAGATTTCTTCCACTTTAAGTCTCTAGGGACAATAGGCCCATTCTGTTCAAAACTACAGTGACAGTGTTTAAATTTTTGTTACTATCAATACAATTATTTTATTTTTTTATATTTTTGTCTTTTTTAGACAGAGTCTCCCTGTAGCCCCAGCTAGCCTAGAACTCACTATGAAAACCAGGCTGGGCCTTGAGCTCACAGAGATCTGCCTGCCTCTGCCTCCCAAGTGCTGGGATTACAGGTATGCACCTGGCAAATATCAATACAATTATTACATCTCTGCCATAATCTTAAGTTTTAAGGGAAAGTGAAAATGCTGAAAGTTTTAGCAATATTTTTAAAAATAATGATGGATGAGAAGCTCAGTATACTTAAACTTTAAACAAATTCTGAAATTACTGTGAAACACTTGTCTCAAAAAAAAAAAACAAACCCAAACCTTCAGAGGATATATATTTTATTGTATGAATGTCAAATATTTTACAATGATTTACTAAAATTTTATGTATTCTATAAAATAAATACTATCTTAAAGTACATTGGAATTAGTAACAGAGGTAATGAAAAGAATTCAGTACTGAAATACACCAGTAGGAAACTTATCCTTGTTTTACTATCCCATCCTTTACAGACAAATGCTTCTAGTGTGGGGGGTGAACTTCATGTGCTGTCTCCTGCTTTTCTGCTTCTGTCACAGTAGCTATAAACATCTGCTTAAGGATATCCTTATCTAGATTCCTGCCTGCAAACAAAACAAAATACAGTCATTACACTCTGCATATTAAGATAATGGTTTAACAGCAGCTGGGGCTACAAGGAGACCCTGTCTCAAAAAGACAGAAAAAAAAAAAATCGATAATGGTTTATCAATTCCAGAGTGTTAAATACTGGATGATCTCTAGTAATTTACAAAATCAACAGCAATCTGTTGATTACTCATGATTCCTTCTTTAATTTTCTAGTTAAGTCTCAAAACCAAGATAGTGCTTGGAGTAATAATCATTTTTCTAACATCTGAAGAGCAAAAGGCCTAGCAAATTCTTAATATCCATGATTCAGACAAATACACAAGCTTACTTAGTTATAAAGAAAGATCTAATTGGTTAATACTAGTAAGTGCTACATCACATTCCCTTTAAATCTGTCTTGTATTTTATTTCAGAAATCTCATCCTCTGTCTGTCTCACCAATAAGGACCAGCCGGTTTGTTCTCTCGGCATCTTCCCACTTCACCGGCATCTCCTCCAGGTCATAGAGCTCATGGACACCTTGCAGAATCATCTGTTTTGGTTTGTCTTTGATGGACACCAGCCCCTGCTCAAATTTGCAAGCACATATAGTGGACCAAATCTGAAAATATTCATTTTCAAAATGCAAACTCATAAAGAAGCCATGAAAAATATTTGATTCCAATTATTTGCACATTTTGTTTCTTAAAACTTTTAATAATTTTAGGTATACTTATTTTTTTATAAATAATTGCTTTTAAAATGATAAAATTAGTATATTAGGACCTTCTTTCAATTTTATCTTATTGTATCAAAAAACTAAAACAAAGTAAGAAAATTTTTTATTGTGCCATATCCTGATTATTCTGTTTTTAAGGATTTTATACTTCACACATTTAACAAGAAAACTTGAGAATGGGTTTTGTTGATGAATCTGTTTTAGAAAGTGTTTACAATAAGGATAGACATTTATGAAATAAAAAGCTATTTATATGCATCTGGATAAACATTCACTGTGGGACCAGAGTTGTCCTCCAACCTCCACCTGCACACTGTATCATGTGTGCCCCAAACACCATATACATATACACAATAATAAATAAAAAGTTTTAAAGTTCATTTTGTAATGACTCACAGAAATGGAAATTATCTGATAAACTATCTGCTTATGGGGATGAAATCAATTTCTAAAATCTTTGTTATATATACTTGCTGTATATATATTAAATAAAATATGTATGGATTTAAAAGTACATTTAATGTATACATACTTAAATACATGGACATATGTTTTAAAATAGCAGATGACAATTCTTACCACCCATTTTTTCATGTATTTTTGGCATACTCCCCTCTGGTTTTTCTTTTTTTCTATCCAGTTTTGTGTTCTGCTTTTTAAATTGTAATGTTTTGTAATAAGAAATTCCTTGGAAAGAATTACATTAGCACCAATTTTGTGGCACTTACATACAAGCATTAGTTTGTATTAGAGTTATCTGGGGGGCAGGGACCAGGGATTGAACCTAGGGCCTTGCATATGCTCGGCAAGTGCTCTCCACTGAGTTATACCCACTATCCCTAAATTTAACATTTTAAACACAATGATGATTGTAAGACTCTTATTTTGTAACAGGAAAAGAGATAGGCTAGGAATATAAGCTGCTTCGCCCCAGAATCGTTGCTAGGATGAAGACTAAAGGAAGAACCAAAGAGGAAAATGAAGACTGCCACACATGGAAGGCTAAACCCAAACTGAAATGATGGAGAAAGCCGCTGACTTCCCACAAGTCTTGATGGCAGCATTAGTGTAGGTGCCCAAACTTTCTTGTCTAGGTAGCTGCTCCATATTCAGTGGTATGGCACTGTGATGGTTAGTTTTAATTGTCAACTTGTCACAACCCAGAATCACCTAGGAAAGGAGTCTCAGCGGTGACTGTCTAGATTAGGTTGGCCTGTAGGCAAGTCTGTGGGGGACTGCCCTGATTACAGTAATTGATGTGGTTGAGAACGTCTAAAAGTGCACAGCCCCTGGGTCTGGGTCTCAGACTATATAAAAATAAGAAAGTATGCTGAGCGCAAGCATGATGTGTTTTTCCTGACTGCAGATGAGATGTGACTAGCTCTCTCAAATTCCTGCCTCTGTGATTTCCTCACCATGATGAACTGTGACACGAAATAAACCCTTTCTCTCCGAAATTGCTTTTGTTGGGGTATTTTTATCACAGCAACAGGAAAGGAAGCTAAGACCAAGATAAAAGCAGTTACAAGGAGAAACATGTTCTGCCAGTTAGCATAAGGAATGTCAGAGCACTGCGGTCACAGCAGCAGCAAGGCCTGGCACCTTAGCTCCTCTGGATACAGAGGTAGAAGTAGACTGGAATTCAGCTCTGGGCTGCTGTACAGAGTCCATCTTAGGCAGCGCCAGTCAGCAGCCAAGTGAGGAAATCTGATTTGAAATAGTTTCTCCATAGTCTCCACCTGTCACTCTAGCAACCCCAGGAAATCAGCTGCTAATTGTGGAGAGACTCTAGCTTCTAACAGTCACGGAAACTTTATGCATACTTGTGAGCCCATAACAGCAGCCGCTCAAATGACTGCTGTTTAAACATACAACTCCTGGGAAAAAAAACATTCTTTTTCTGTGACACACATAAACACAAACATATCCAAATGTCAAGTAAGATGAACGGCTTTCTAAACACAGACAAGAATTCTTCTAATGTTTTGTACCTTTGCACAGAATATAACAAATGTTTAGTATCTGCTAAATGCATCAAGAAAACACAAGGATGACCAGTGGCAGAATTTTCAACATGATTTCTCTATTAAATGACGTTCTTTTAGAAAAATAAACATTTCTTTAAGTGACCAATCTGTAATAAGAAGAACAGAGTTTTGATGGTGTCAAGCTGGGCTACTAATCCAAAGCACACAGGTTGTTTTAGCTGCAACACTACACAAAGCTGTGAAAATGGACCATGCTTTTTTACAGTGATTTCTAAAGCTCCTTTTCAGCAACACAAATGATAAAAATGAGAGCAGATAAAGGATATCTGTACTTAACTAGTGCTTCTGTTTAAAACCAAATATTGTTTTTACAACAGCCAAGAAAAAGCCTGCATGGATAAATGCCACACTGTACCTTCAGCCGTATGACCTCCATGCAGCGACCGTCCTTGTTCCTCACATTCTTTTCCCACAGGAGATTCTGTATCGGGTGACACAATTTAATAAGACCAACCATTGTTAATGCAACAACGATGCAACTAAGCAGTTGATGAATCATTAATCAGTTAAAAATTGCATTCACCTGGATAAATATATTTAGACTCTCTTCCTTTGCATTTCCTGGCACTTCAAATGTAATTGTAACAATGCTCTGTAAATCGAGAGAACAGTCAATAATTTTTATAGTAGCATCAATACATTTTTAAACTAAAACCAGTTTTAAGATGAAAACTATGGACCATACACATGAAGTTTTAGGCTGCCTAGTAGTATTATTAATCATATTTCTTTTAATGCGTGTGCTGGTTCTGGAATTAGCAACTCTTTCTATATTCTACAAAGTAAAACAACAGTTTAGTATTTACAGAAAAGCCTTTCAGTGAGAAAGAAATATAACACACACAGTGTGCTCTCTCTGGACCGAACCAGGCAGTTTTGCCAGTGCCAGCACATCTTTTCATTTACTCTTCACAACAATCCTGGGTAGTAAAGAGAACTATTTCCACTTTATAAATTGGGAAATTGGATAAATAAAGCTGAGAAATATAAACCACCCAGACCCAGGAGCACTGCTCAAAACAAAAGTTTAATTCTGTTCTCTTGGAAAAATAATTACAAAGGAAAGGTCCCTTTTATCTCTAACGGAGCAAGCACTGTGCCAAGTGAAAGAGCTTTTAGAGCTAAGAATGGCAGCATAGTGTCATTTTTTGGCCTAGATCTTTGACAGCATCGTTTATAGACTACAGATTTATTTTTCTTCCTGATCTTGATAAATCATTATCTTTTCTAAAGATGATTTTTCTCTTATAGATCACACAGTTAAAATTCAAATCTCCCTTTGCCAACAATGCAACCCAAAATTTCAATCTTAGTGATGAAAATACACAAAGGCTAAGTATAACATTTTTTGCTTTGTTTTTAAAATTTTTATTATTTTTATATTTTTATGTGTATGCGTGTATTGCCTGCATGTAGGTAAGTGCACCTGTGTCGTGCAATGCCCATGGAGGTCAGAAGAGGCTGTCGGATCCCCTGGGACTGGAGTTACGGACAGTTGTTAGCTGCCATGTGGGTGCTGGGATTCAAACCCGGATCTTCTGCAAGAACAACTAGTGTTCTTAACTGCTGAGCCATCTCTCCAGCCCCAAGTACAACATTTTTAAAAAATACCAACCCCATCCATGTCTTGGATACCAAGATGCCCACACCAAGGTCAAGATGTTTAGAATAGGCAGAAAGAAGGCACTACCACATAGCTTTGTGTAACTTGGAAATGCTTATCTGGTCCTGAATTTTCACTCACCATTAGAACACTACACAAGATTGTATTTATTTGATTTTTGTTTGGTTTTGAAATAGGGTCTCACTATATAGCCCAGAATGGCTTTGACCTCAAAATCCTCCTACTTCAATCTTGGAATGCTGGTATTTTAGAAATGTGTACCAGCACACCCACCTTCAGAACTGTTTTTTTATGCAAACTCAGAGACTAGTTAAAAGTATCAAAGACCAATTTAGGTATAAATAAACTGACAGTCCTCCAGTGTTGCTATCAATATGGAAAGCATACTTTTCTTACTTGTAGACATGAGAAGTACAAGTCAATTAATACACACATGTATATATAATATATAACACATATTATATATCTATATATCCATACCCATGGGACATGCAGTTTAAGAACCCCAGTATTTGTATGAAACCACAACAATATTGAACCAGAAATTTAATGTCTTTTCAATCCCAACTAAGCATTACATTATGTGGTTGTACCTTCTACACTTTGAAAACTAGCATGAGTTTCTTTTTCCTCCTTCATAATGTCATGGATAGAAGATTCATTCTGATCATGAATCTTTTTTCTTATTAAATCAAGAACTCTTACCATTCCACATAAAGAAAGCACTTTATAGCTTCTCTTTGACATATCTGTATTGTCAACATTATTACTCTTGTTCTTTGGGACATTAAGTAACATAAGGGTCACTTGAACATAAGCATTATGATACTGTGACAGTAGATCTGGCAACAGAGATGCCAACTAAGTGAACGAAAGGCAAGCACTGTATTCAGCATGAAGACACTGGACAATGGGGTGATTTACCCACCAAACAGGAAATGCAGCATGGTGAGAGATTTTATCATGCTACTCAGTATGGCATGGAATTTTAAACTGATGAATTGTTTATCTCTGGAATTTTCCATTTAATATTTTTGGACTGCAATTGGCCACAGGGAACTGAAACCAGAGCTTACAAGAAGTCTATTTGTATTTTGTCACAATAACCAAACCAAATGGTAGAAACAACCTCAATGCTCATCAACAAATGAATAAAAAGAACAGTGATACACACACACACACACACACACACACACACACACACACACAGTGATTTTTATTTAGTCTCAAAAAAGAAGGAAATTCTTTCATATGGCATAATGTGAATAAACCTTGGGGATATAATGCTAGTAACTAGAACAGACATTGTATGATTCTACTTACATCAAGTACTTAAAATAGTCAAACTTAAGGAAAACAGCAAATAGAATGTTGGTTACCAGGTGCTGTGGGGAGGCAGAACTGAGGAGCTGGCATTTAAAGAGTCTACGTTCAGTCATGCAAGGTGAAAGGTTCTAAGCTCTGTTCTATACATGTACATGTAATAATACCCACCATGTTCTACTTAAAAATTTGTTGAGAGGGTAGGTCCCAGGTTAAGCAGGGTAAAAGTGTTTTAAAACCTTAAAAATATTATTTTTTTAAATTATTTATTTATTATTTTTATTTTATGTGTATTGCCTGCATGTATGTGAGTGCACCCATGTCATGCAATGCCGTGGAGGCCAGAAGAGAGCATCGGATCCCCTGGAACTGGAGTTACGGACAGTTGTTAGCTACTATGTGGGTGCAGGGATTCAAACCCGGGTCTTCTGCAAGAACAACCAGTGTTCTTAACTGCTGAGCCATCTCTCCAGCCCCCCAAAATATTTATTATTTTAATTTAGAGTGTATTACCTGAATGTATATAAGTGTACCCATGTTGTACAATGCTTGTGGAGATCAGAAGACAGTGTCAGATTCTCCTGGAACTGGAGTTACAGACAGATGTTAGCTGCCATGTGGGTGCTGGGAATCAAACCCAGGTCTTCTGCAAAAGCAGCCAGTGCTCTTACCCACTGAACCATCCCTCCAGCCCCTTGTTCTAAAATCTTAATAACATAACTTGCTTTTAAACTATTTGGTTTTTTAATAGTTCAAAGTTAAACAAAATGGCTATTTTTCCTAATTGAAGAAATCACTATAAATGCCTAAAATTCAGTATCTAAATATACTGTAAAAGGTTGCCAAATGGAACACAACTGTCAGTTTCAAAAGAAAGAAATTTAGTTTCCAAAAAATTATAAATGTACTGCATTCGAGCTGGGCAGCCTAGCTTTTAATACTGACAACATCTCAATACAGAACTCAACACAGTTCCTGCTTTATTATTAAAGATTTCTTTTGCAGGTTACTGACATGACTTTTATTTGTTTTTGGTTTGTGTTTTGTTTGTTTGCTGGGTCTCCCTATGCAGCCCTGCCTGGCCAGGAACTTGCTATGTAGACCAGGCTGGACTCACAGAGATCTGCCTGCCTCTGCCTCCCAAGTACTGGGATTAAAGGTATGCAACACCACACCCAATTGTTTTTGTTTTCTGAGATGGGTCTCATGTTATACAGGTTGGCTCTGAACTTCTGATCCTCTACCACCCCAGTACTGAGAATATAGGCATTGTAGGCAGGCATTACCACACCCAGCTATGACTCAGCATTTTTAAAGAGTACAATTAACTCCAGCATGAGGCAAAAACAATTTTTTTTAAAAAGTAAGATGATGGGGCTGGAGAGATTGCTCAGTAGTTAAGAGCACTGGCTGTGTTAGGCCACGGGTTCAATTCCCAGCACCTACATGGCAGCTAATACTGTCTATAACTCCAGTTCGGGGGAATTCAACACTCTTCTTATCTCCACTGGCATTGTACAACATGGGTGTGTTCACATATATGCAGGCAATACACTCATACACATAAAATAAAAGTAATAAATATTTTTAAATTAAGATGATATATAAGGGATGATCCGTATGTTAGAACTGTGTTTTTTCATACCAATAAACTCTTTTCAAGTAGAAAAATCAAAAGAAGATGAAGTCTGTAAATGATGGTCAAAACTCAGAATTCATAATTGTATCTACTAATAAACTAACATAGATTGCCACTTCAGTTTCCTCATCTGCATTCCCACCCCAGCTCGTTTTTGTTGAAAGTTGAACAAGAGATAATTGGGGAAGAAATTAGTGTGTACCACTGCAGTAAATACTTCTCAGGAATAAAATTTTAATAACCCATATATAGCATATCCTAGATACTACCAACCTCAGACTGTTTTGCAACTTATTTGATTTGAATCTACAATTAAGTCTCCTTTTTCTATGGCTAATAACACAAAAGCAAAAAAATGAGGCAATAATCCAGAAAACTAGAGCCTAATGGAGACATTCCGCTAAAATAAAATTTAACAATCACTCTCCTGTTTTTCTATTTAACTTGCTAATTATTTCTCAGTTTTCTGCTCTTTGCAAGCAAGACCCAATATATAATAATTTCTATGTTTTCCTTTGTCTGAAAAACCAAGCCCACTAATGTGTTTAAACTCAACACCAGTACCTCCAGCTCCAATCTTTGGCTACTCTGCCTGCCCCTGTGGTATGCTGCGCCCAGATGCCAAGCAAGTATTGGCATTTTCATTCAAATCACTCTAGCCTCCAGCTGTGTCTAGTTCATGGTTCCCCTTGACAAACTGCATTTCTTTCTCATCACTCCTCCCTCTCTTTGCTGATCTGTACTCAGGCTATGAAACTGCTTTACAGCTTCTAGTGTAGGCCTTCAACACATGATACTGCATCTTCCTGTTTGGCCTCTGGACTCCAAAGACTAATCCCACTTCTGTAACACTAACACACAGCACAATATGAGCTCCCTTCACATTGCAAATTAGAGCTCAATTCCTTAGAATAAAATTCCAGTACCAGTTATAAGACCTCTGCACTAAAATCCTGCTTTTCTGGAATGCCCTCACGTTTCAACAGCTGGTTTCCCCCACTTCTCACTCAGATCCACTAAACCCAATGAAAAAATTCACACTTCTGAATCCTAGAGCCCTTTGCCTGCAATATAGTTTATCCTATGTTTATATATTTAAAGGAGGACAGTACATCAGAATCTCCTGTTGAGCTTTAATAAAAGCAGATGTTGCCTATTTAATGGTGAAATGACATCGTATCTGGGACTTGCTTCTATACACTCCAGCAAGAGTAATAGCACATACAGGTTCCTCATGCTATTCTATCTTTATGTATGTCAGAAACTTAGTATTCGAAAATATGTATTTTCGATGCTACCGAAAAAAAAAAAAAATACTGGGAGGAGAGATGATGCTGACAACATTTAAACTAAATGATGTATAAAAGAGATCTGCTTTATTTCCTCTACTTTTGTATGACATTGAAAATATTCACAATAAAAGGTTAAAATATGCATTAATAGGGGATGGAGAGATGGCTCAGCGGTTAAGAGCAATGGCTACTCTTGCAGAGGACCTGGGTTTGATTCCCAGCAACCACATGGTAGCTAACAACCATCAGTAACTCCATAAATCCGATGCCCTCTTCTGACCTCTACAAGCATTGCAAAACACCAGTGCACTTACATACATGTGGGTAATACACACAAAATAAAATAATAAATAAAATATTTTAAAATATGCATTAATATGCTTCTAAGCTCATTTTTAGAGATTTGAGGGGAAGGGACTATTGAGTATCTGAATTAAGAAAGCAAGAAAGATAGGAAGGGAAGGCAGGCAGCCAGGAAGTCTGTGATTCCAATTATGCCACTCTTTGAGAACCATAGTTTCCATTCCTTTGATAAATATTCACTTAGCTGCTATCACAAATTAAATCCAATACTAAGCAATGAAGAATTACTTTTTAAAGAATCTATAGAGTAATCCAAGGGAAAAGCACCTCAAACCACACTGCATGACATTATAAATACTATGACGGGGTGCAGTTAAGACATCGGGAATATGCGGACTGGCCATTATAAAAGTTCTTGTGAGTACTCCATTTTCTTCATGTTTTAATCCCAGACTCCTAATATGATGTCCTTTACCAGAAGCTCAGTAAGACTGCTTCAATTTCATCCTTCTGAGTGCTACGCAATACCATATACACTTAATTTCTCCCCAAAGTTCTGCCAAGGACTTAATATTTCTCTCAATTTATGTATTTTAGAGGAAAATGAATGTTTATTCTCAAAGAAATGTGCCATATACATGGTGGTATAGCTCCTTATAAACATGAGCCAAAATGAGGACAAACATAAAAGTGACTGCTATCATTCTGGCCCCATCACAAGTGATAACTCACAAGTCCTTGACCTCTCACTGTTTTAAATGAAACCAAAGAGTTACCCTAAAGTTCCACCATCTATGATACGCTTAACAGAAACATGGGCATAGTAAAATTTATTTATTTTGTTCTTAAAGTCTTAAATATCATCCTGGGGGATTAGAATTTCAGATCACAAAACAACAAAAACCTTGAGAGTTCAAATTTACAGTGTTATTGAACGTAAATTCAAAGCCAATTTTTATTTAAAATAAATTCATCCTTTATTTTTCCTTAATCAATTAGTTCAATATAGTTTAAATAGGATGCAGATAGAGACCCCCAAATCTCTTTTAAGTAGAAATTCTCATTGTAGGAAGCTAGAAGGCAAGATTTCCTAAAATTCTTATGTATCAAACTAGATTATACAATCTCAAAAGCATTCAAGAATTCTTAAAACTGTCAACCTGATTGAAAATAAGTTTAGAAAGAGATTCTAATAAAACAGTCCTAAGTGGAGCCAACTTATTTGAAAGAGACACTTTAAAAATATGGTTAAAAAAAATTTTTTTTTTTACCTGATCAAGGTGAGGCACTGTTGGTACATGCTGGAGCTTTTCCTGCAAACTAAGAACAACCAATTACAGATTCAGAAGTCAATATACTTCTGATTTAACCTTATCCATTACTTTTATCCATTACCCAGAGACAGGAAAAAGTGTTTCACAACTGAATGCATACCAAAGCTCCAATTTTGCCTACTCTTCATATATTCTTGTAGAGAAAAAGCTGATCTAAGTTATAAGAAGTGTTCTTAAATGCATATATACACATATATATATATACACATACACACTCCCCATATACACACACATAACATATACAATGAAGAGAAAAAATGATCTTTTAGCAATATTCTGCTGTATGGTTAAATATGTCAGTGGATTTCTTTATAATTCCAATAGGTTCATGCAGGCTTAGAAATAAACACATGGTCTTTTCTGTACTGCTCAGATTCTTAATTCTCCCCATGCTTCCCAAAATGAAAATATGCTGGTAGTTAAAGAAAATTAAAAGGTAAATCTTCTTTTATCAAAGACTTCCCTTGAATGAAGACTCTATTATTAAAAAAGAAACAGAATCCATAAGTACAAACTTTTTAGATAGTCAGTTGCCAATTAAGAATAAAATGAAGTCAGAATCTTAAGCAGGCATTGTTTGCTATGAAAAGAACCAAAAGATCAATATGGCATAACAAATTTCAACTCTAACAACTGTAGCATACATTTAGACACTGACAGGGATAGGATGGGAGGGAGGAAAAAGACTGAAATCCTTGCAGATGTTCTGTCTTGAAGAACAGTAAGGGGTAAATTAGTAACAGCAAGTTAGGAAAGAGAAAGGGCTTGTAGGAACTGTTGAAGGGATGAGTCACAGTGGGGGGTCTTAGTAGGGAAAGTATTCAAATTAAATCCTTCCCAGCTGGTTGCTTAGGAAAGGATTCTCTTGCTTAACAGCTAAGCAAAAAGAAAAGTTGTGCAAAGGCCTTATCTATAGTGGTAGGATCACATTAAATAGCTCTTCTTTTAAGTGTCACTAAAACATTATAACTGCTCTTAATCAAGAATAGAATGAGATTAGAAAATTGTAGAAAAATCATGTTTTTCTTATGTCCAGTGTTTAATCCTACTGGACAGTGAGTGCATACAACTTCACATGCAAGTAACAGTCAAATATTAACAACAAACCTAGGTTTAGCTCCTAGTAAGTCTAGCAAGAATTTTGTGCACTTAATTTGATTCCTATTATAAAAGGAAAGTAAACTATACTCTAGTCTAATGGACCAGTATTTGCTATCAAAACCTAAAATTTATAATGAGAATCTTTTGTATGAAAAAAAAAGTGCAATTACTAATAATTTTCACATTCCATAAAGAATCATTGTCCAGTATAAATGGCTCTAGGTACTCAAGGAGTACATCAGGCAAAATGGGTCAGGAAGATTTCACTTTGTAAAGTAATACGCAAGAGCTTTGACCATACAATATACATAGGGATTTATTTAAAATTAGGACTCACTCATGCATAATTCATGTATACCAAACACTCCTATCTTCCTACTGACTAGAGCAAGAAAAGCAAATGCAGACTCTACCCAGGTACTTTGGGAATATGTAATTTTAACCTGTTATTGGATCACTTTTAAAAATCCAGTCCCAGAGGCAATAGGTGAAAACAGTTCTCAACTGAAGACTTCTAGTACAACTTGTGCTAGCCTTTGGCTTATCTAAGATGGCATGTTAACTTCTCTGGATTCCTTAACTTCTCTGGATTCATTTACAAATGAGGAAGAAACAGCTGCCTTGCATAGTCTATACTTCTACGTGCTAAAATAGTCCCACTTTAAAAAAATCACAATAAATGATAATCAAAATTCTCTAATACAAGATAGAGGTCCAATAAAATACCACCATGCCATATCCACACGTTATCTTGGATGCAGCTCTAAAAGTGTGAATAAACTGGGTGTGATGAGACATGCTTTTAACCCCAGCATAGTGAGACCCTGCCTCAGAAAAAAAAGTGTGAACAATATTAAAGATGGAGGGGAGGTAGCTACTTAAACCTCACAAGAACAGAATCACTCACTGTGCCTACTCATAAGTAAACTGCCTTACTCAGAGTGGTGTCCATTTTCATAATGTTGAATAGATACATATGACACTTAAAAAGATAAACCATTTGCAAGCAAGATTTACAATAGCCAAGATGTGGAAGCATTGTATAATGTCCACTATTGAATATAAATAAATAAATGTGATATGTGTATGTATATATAAGTGAAATATTATTTGGCCTTTAAAAAGAAGAGTGTACTGCTATTTATGACAGTGTGGATAAACTTGAGGGCATGCTAAGTGAAAGAAGTCAGTCACTGAAGGACAAACATCACAGAAGCAGACACTAGAACAGTGGTTGCCAGGACACAGCAGGAGGGGAAAATGAGGAACTGCCATTCAATGAGTTTTACAAGCCTTACCTATAGTTAACAATCCTGCACTGTATGCTTAAATAATAAATTTTCCCCATTCTTTATCAAAAAGGTTCTACAAAGAAGAGGTGGAAAGCTAATCCATCACTAAGAGGAAGGGAGTTATCTGTGTGAACACACAGCTAAAATTTTCTATGTACTCCATGTGTTTTCCCTATAGGAAGAATGTTGAAATACCTGGCTTAGAATATTGGCCATGAGTTTCTAAAGTTAACTATCACTTACATTAAAATTTGCAAAGGAAAATCCACGGGGTAGCTGCTGGGATCTCAGCAGACTGCCAGAGTGTGCCGGGTTCTGGCCTCCCTCTGGCCTCCAACTACCAGAGGGTCTGAGAACCCAGGAGAGAGCCTGACAGCCCCCAGATCCTGCCTCCACATGGTGGTGAGCTTCCCCTAATTGTGCCACACCATCCTCCAACCTGGGACTTTGTTAGGCCCCTCCCAAGGTCCCAGGGCAGATCTGACTCTGGTAGGCTAAGGCTGGGATCTCAGCAGACCTCCAGAGAGTGCCAAGTTCTGGCCCTGCTCTGGCCTCCCTCTGGCATAGGGTTGACAATGCACAGGACTGCCTGAGAGAGCCTGGATCCTCCCTCCACATGGTGAAGGAAGCCTGAGTGTACCTGACTGGAACCTGAATTGGGCTTCTGTGGGTTCCCCTGAATAGCTGATCTGAAGCCATCAATTCCCTCCAAAATAAACCTGGGAGAACCTGAACCCTGTACCAACCAGCTTTACATAACCAATAAAGAAAAGATATAGGCACCTGGATAAAACAAACAGAAGCATACTTCAACTTAATTCTCATATCAGATTCATAAACAACAAAAGAAATTCACATGCCAAAACCACAATGAAAGAATAATAAAATGGAAAGCCAAAACACTATGTCCCCAGCAAAGCCCACCAATCCTGTAGAAGTGTTCT